GTCAATACATTCGTGGTAGGGTGGTAGTATTTTTGGGTATTTTTGAGATGAGTGAATGGAAAACTGTATCGTTGATTTAAGGTGAAAATGCCACTGACAATATGTATAAATGTATTAGTTTCACTCGGAAATACTATTAACCAAGTTCCACTCAGAATCGTTTTTTTTTTTTTGTTGGAAATGCTTAAATTTGCTTAGGTACAGATATATATTAAAATTTCTTCAATACCTACCTTTTCAACTTCTCATCTATATCGGTGGTCCACCCATCGTGCGAAGTATGTCTGTCTTTTTTTCTTATCAATTATTATCATTAAATTTAATGATTTCGCCACTCCCCCCCATCCCATAATTAAAGTCTGGAGACGCCCCTGTTTTACTGTACTATCCGCGGTACGCGCATTTTCACAAATTAATTTGCTCGTACTGAAAACGATGTATAAAATTGATTTTAACCGTTTCGTCACCGGAACCATTGACGGCGGGGCGATATGGTTTTATTTCCGGCAATCCCGATTGTGGATTTCGATAAATTTTAATAAGTTTTTATATTTTATGAAAAACGGCGAAAAGAATCAAAATCTAAAATTCTGATTTTAAATTACATTTTTGCATTTTAAAGTTCAAAAACCCGGATTTTGTCCTCCGTTATTATAGTAGCTATGTTTTATTAAACATCAATTCCGTTTCTCTATACTGATCGCGAAAGGAATCACATTTAATTTTCTAAGAAGTGGTTCAACTGTTTCCGCATACTCCTCCTAACTGTTATTGTTATTATTATTTTTACTGAAAATTTGAACTTAAAAAAAAAATTCCGATTTTTAACCAAGCTGAAAATATAAAATATTTGTGGTCAGTCCAAGCGTTTCAAATAGGGGAATCGGGCAAATAATTTGGCGTAAAAGAAAAGGGAAAAAGAGCCGTATCAGATAGAAAACAAGGGGGAGCGAACCTCAAAGTTAATTCCAGAAAGCAGAGAAGGAGAGTTAATACCTGCAGATTCGTCGGACCGGAATTAAGTTCGTATTTGGTAAAATAAATTATTTGAATAGAAAACTATGAGTCGATATTGATATGATTATCGATTGAAATCGTGATTTTTCTAATAACGTTTCTATTTTCATATTCCAGATAAAAAATATTAGAAAGACATTTTTCTTCGAAAATATAGATTTTAAAAAATCTCGTCAATATCCTATGTCACGGCTTTTGTCGATACTCACTGCCTGCGCTATAATTATTACTATAACGCTGAGATTTCATAACAAATTGTATTATAATTTTTTTTTTTTTTTTATTTAACGATTCCATCATTTTAATTTTTTACCACAAAATATATTTTAAATGAGATTATATGGATGATATATGTTTACACTCCTTTAATAATTAGAAACATTTTTGCGAGACTGGCCAGTGATTTTAGCCATTAAATATTTAATGATCCATTATATAGTTATTCATTGATTAAATATTTTTGTAATGATTTTTATGCGACCCGGCGTTAGTGGTCCGAAAAAAAAAAAGTAATGAGTGTAATGGAGTAATTTGTTTTTAATAATATTTCTTGTGTCAAAATCGTAAATATTACGGCCTTCCAAATCATGTATACACGATCTTCGTTCAAAATCATTTTTCGTTAACAATGATTTATCGTTGGTCACAGATATAATTTAAATATAAATGCACGTATCCTACCTCCTCGACTTTCTACTTACAACAGTGGCGCAGCCATCATAAGCATCAGCTTATTTTAATATTTGATTTATTTTAAATTCGTGACGCTTTAAACACAACCGAATATGCGCTAAAATATTGTCCAAACAAATTGTTTGTATTCAAATTGTATATACTTAAAACTTGATTTATAACTCATTTATGTATTTATTTTATTGTTATGGTATTGGTTAATGGTATTCACTTAAAAACTTCGTGATTTGAGTGTTATTGTGGATCAAACTCGACGGTTTTTTCTGTACTAAATTAACTTATTCACGATAGTCTAATCGAATACGCTATCGCACATCAGTGCGTGGGAATGCGAACTATACAAATCGAAAAACGCGTGTATAATACGCGTGACACACGATACGATGAAAGATTATATTATAATATCATTTGCATGCGAGTACTTTGTCGTTCTTTTATAATACTGAAAAGCTGCATATATACTGCTAAAATATGCTCTAAAAAGCAAATATGTAAAATATGCAGGCACTCAGCTGTTGTATTTTTTTTTCCAGTCTTTCAAAAGTAATACACACATGTTAGAAAGCCCCTTACCCCCCGGGTATTATGTATTATATTATGTACCCGTAAACACGAAAACTTGTAGAACGATCGAGTCGTAATAATAATATAACAAGTATTTTTTCCCCTCCGACCACTTAGGATATTATTTTTTTCGCGGGCTATCCGATAATTAATATTATAATTTATTGCCGCGGTCGATTAAATTTCGTTTTTTTTTTACGACGGACTAAACGATTCTTATTACTCCATAACGGCGACGCGTTTATAAGAAATAATGTCCAATTAAAGTGACTGCAGCAATTTGTATCGTACGTATTTAACATTTGACATTAATAAACCGCATAATAAATTACACATACGTATAGACATATTATAATAGCTGCGTACAAACGTACGACTTATGAAAGTATTGATATATGCGAGCACACGAAAATGTAGATAACACCTATTGTACCCAATTAGGTGTAAAATTTGATAAAATGATTAATAAATATTACGATTTTAGATTTTTCGTCAATTTACACGGGGATTTTACTATGTTATGTGATATCATCATTTTTATCGTGTGATTTTAATATCGTATCCTATAACGAAGTTTTTCCGTACGGCTAAATATTATTTATTCCGTATACCAAATACTAACTGCGGCGAATAAGTGACATCGAATATCTTCAAGTCGAATCAAGTTTCACGTAAGCCGAAAATTACATTATACAAGGTATATAGTCATTAAACCAATTTTTCTGTATGCATACGTGTCATGGTCGACGACCAAAGGAGATGAAAAAATAAATATATTTGGCCTAGAAAGAAGAATGTTAAGGGAAATACACGGTCGAAAGAAGAACAACGTCGCCGAGCAATGTGACATCAGAAGCGATAAAGAATTTCGGCAACTTTACAATTAAAGAGCCCCTGATATATTAGCGGTACTTCAATACGGAAGAATGCCATTGGTTGGTCACGTAAGGAAATCTAATGGTCTAACGGGAGCTGTCTTAAATTGGAAACCCAATTGGAAAACGCCGAAATCCGGCGGATTAAAACAATAGACGGTTAGGCCAAATTGTAAATAGCGAAACAAATAATTCAACGTTTTTATTTACGATCATGAAATTGCCAATATTCATCGACGCGATTTTTTTTACGACCGTGCTTATCTATTATATCTATCAGTTTGATGGTTTCTCATGAAACAACAAATCATCACAGTAAAAACAATAAAATGCATCACCACGCTCAAATATGTTCGCTAAATTTGATATTTTATTCGTCAGTATACGTACCATATATGGATGCATATCATATATCATCTGTACACATATAGATAATATGATAAAAACAATCAAGAAGATATTTGTTTTAACATCTTGTTATACATCTTCTGTCCGAAAAAATTGTACTATCGGCGGTATTGGCCGAAAAAAACAGTTACTATTTATTTTCATGTGGACATTCTGTTTTTAGTGTAACTATTTTCTACGTAACGAATGAATATAAATAATATTTCACAAAACAGTATTCTCTATTTTTGCGCACACTGCCGTTTCGTATATTTGATATTTTTGTGTTCGATCAGAATTATAAAATGGAATCAGAATCGAATGATTATTGGTTATCGACCCGAATTACTGGAATGACGACTAACGGTAAGTTCAGTGAGAATCCGTACGCGAAAAGTTCGGTTTCCAAAAAAAGAACACTGTCGCCGTGTATGGCGGAACCCGCGATCAACAAGAAACATAGGATTTCAACGCCGTGCGATGAAAAACCACTACGTAATTTTTGTGTTTCTTTATTGCAATATTTTTATTACCATTCGCTGTGGTACACGATTCAGCTGTGTCACAATTGTCGTAAGAATATAAATTTGAAATTACATTATCGTAGTTTTTGAATTAGTATAATACTGCGAAACCCAAAGCATTAGCCGATATTTGAATTTGTTCAGGTTTTGTTCGTTACCAAATAATTACACCGGTAGACTGAAGTTAATTCAATTTAGAGAGTAGTATATTGATCGTATTACCTGAAACGGTATTCTTAAAATCTGATTGCGATATTTAAAAGGTACTTTAAAATACGTCCTGCAATTCTGTAATTCGTTTTTTGAAATGCGCACGATTACCAGGGTTAAAACCGAAAATATCGGTTGGGTAAATTTAATACTAAATACCATAACTTGTGTATAAATACTATTGTACTGTCGTTTTATTAGGTAGTATATTTGATTTACCTCTAAGCGACGTTCCGAACCTCTCTTCCGCATCTCTAACGGGCACTCCGGCTTTACCGTCGTAAGTATCTTTGATGTTATTATTAATAATTGTTTTGTATTTGTATGAATTATAAGTATTGAATAAAATAATATTATGATTGTTCACATTGTAACATAAATGAAGAAATAGAAACATTGAATATCGATTATACCGTATTCATCGTACTGAACCGATCATGCTCACTCGACGACAACAAAAGGAAAAGGCTCAATATGATAGGAAAAGGTTATCGTTATTGAACGGTTGTTCCGAAGTAGTTATCAGTCTGCCTCCAACTATGCAATTGATCCAGACAATGATAGCGAATTTAAGTCCAGTAGAAATTCAGTTAGGAAAGGCTCTTGGGGTTCTAAGCGAAGAGGCTTATTAAAAAACTATAGCAGAGCTTGCGCTAAGGATTTTTTAGAACGGCTCAACACTTGTATGCATACAGGCTAACAGAATTTGCCGTTTGCTTAACAACCACTACTTATTTAACTATATATTAATTGTATTCTATATGTAACACTTTGTTTTTCAATTTCTTCGTCGCTGTCTTTACTCTCGATTATTTTGTTTTTACCAGACGCTTCAGAGAAAACCCTATTAAAAAAACTCTGTTCGTTTCGTTTTGTTCTTTTAAGAAACCGATGTTTCTTTTCACATATCCTATGGTGAACTGTATCCCTATAGGATCCCATCATATAATGGTGGCATATAATAATTTATATACAAGTTCAGGTTTTATGTCTCAACATTCATTGTTGAACGTAACGGTAATAAGTTGCTGACACTTATGTATACCCTGTTTTTACGACAAGTTTTCGTCGGGTGGCACGCAATCCCACCAGGTAGCACTAGAGACATGTTAATGAATTATTTTTCTATGAGGTCTATGGTTGTGATCGGTGTTACATAGTGAGGACGCGCGCCGTCGAACGAAAACTGGTCGCGAAATCGATATGTTCTTTTTTGAAACAGGGTATAGGCACTGACTAAATTGGTTTTTAGAACTACCCATATTGGTTATAACTACCCGTTAGTGCAAGCTCTGAACTATAGGCTTCTGCTGACGCGTTTAAACCGTCATCTTGATGGACTGCTAAACAACAAATCGAAGAAACAGTACGGATTTCGCGCAGGAATATGTGCTCGATAGCACGCTGCGAAAAGGATTCTTACTATTGCTGGGAAAGCTGCTCGGGGACCAGTTCAAAAACGAGATTTATGTGCGGTCGTCTCACTAGATGTGAGCAATACCTTCAATACATCTCCGTGAACTAGAATTGACCATGCCCTGGAAGTAAAGGCTGTACCAAGCTACCTGAGAAATATCCTCAGGGTCTTATCTCGAGGACCGATCGCTTATTGTTGGTGAAACACAGACTCAAAAAACCGTAACATGCAGCAGATCTGCTTGACACCTGGAGTACTAGCCAATTTTTGAGCGGTGCCAGGTGGACAGGTCGTATATCTGGCAAGTAACGGTAGTGGCTGAAGAAAAAAGGCGGACCATCACTGAATGGTGCGATTACTGGTGAGACACGTGCAAGGAAGCGTGAACCGGACAACTGTCGCGTGGCGCGAGTAGTATGACGTCACAAAATTCGTTTCACGCGGCTTTTTTCGCGGTATAATTTCGGATCGGCCTAGGAAGAGGTCTAGATCAAAGAATAGCCGGGCGGGCCGTGCCGCACGGCAAAAGATGCCCAGTGTGGACATGTTATTTGGCAAAAATGCCAAGCAGCTGTTGAATATATCGTAAAATATATGTTAATACTATGTTATTATTGTTTTAATTTAAAAAAGTATACATTTTGACACAGTATTTAAATATTTGTATTTCAAAGTAATTTTTACGTATATTTTCATGTGACGTAAAAGACTGTCACGAAATATCTACGTACAGATTCGTTTTGACTTTTTTGTCTATGCAAGCATAAATCGGTGAATTCTCATCGCATATTTTCGGCCACGACCTGTGCTCGTGTTGACAGAGATGTTATTAATAAATAATTTAAGAAATTTTGATCCACCGAAATGACCCGATTAGCTACAAAAAACATAAGTATATTACACGAATTTTTTTTTTTTTTTTGTGGTGGGGAGCAGTAAACTGCGAATTATAAAATATCTAGTAATAATAATCGGTCCGACAAGGCACAATCAATGTCCAAAATCGGAACTTGACATACTCAAAAATCGTATCAATACATCCGCGATTTTATAATTTAATTGATCGTCTTTTATTCGATTAAAAATTAGCTGTGTTCCACTCACAACTTTTCGGCTGTTCAAACTTGAACGGACCCACCACGTGTTTTTGAAACGCGAATCTTTATGTCGCTTATAAGTAAAGCACGGATGTTGTAGTAGTAAAAAACTAGTAAAATTGTTTGCAGTATTGTACAAAAAAATACTGAAAGTTGCACTAAAAATATTAAAAATTGCACTAAAAAATATCAATTTTCTTACAACAATGGGAATAGTTGGATTAATTTTTGGCGTATTTACAAAACAATAACAGAACACGATCGCTCAAAAGGCATGGATTGACTGAAGAATAGATTATTGAACGGTCAAACTGTCACATTTCATAAATTATTTTTGTATTGTATTGAATACCTACCAACTTGAAATTATCGAAATAAAGATATGACATACCATTTTTCAATTTTATAGCTGGTGATATTATAATATAATCTTATCTGTGCGACTGTCGAGAGTCGACTATAGCTAAATAGTTGTATATATCAATAAATTCAACAAAATTGCAATAAAATTAAAATTTTATTTTTTAAATTTTTTTTAAACAATTATTGTTGTCACGGAAACGCCCATTGTTTTAATAATTTCACCATAATACGATCTAATATCATAGATTGTATTGTTGACAAAGCAACACTATCAACTGAACTCCGCTCAGAATCGGTTAGCAATGGTTTATTCAAGAAACCTGGTTAACAAGTGAAACACTATAATAAATAATATAATCCCTATAGAGTATTGTAAAATAAAAAAAAAATATGATTGAAAAAAAAAAATATTTAGTTCACATGTAAGTATACAGCAATTATATGGTATACGCATATTATTACGCGTATATTATGCCGGATGTTGGAAATAATAGTAAATAATTGCGTTAGTATTGGAAAAAAAAATGGTTATAAAATAATACAATTGCGTGATTGTATGCGTATACGGTAGTACAAAAGATGATTGTTGTTATTGAATACTTATTTATGACGTGATGTGTAAGAGATAAAAAAAAATGTGAATAACGTGCCACGAATATAAAAAAAAAAAACTTTGTAAAATTGCGTTAGAGTAAAAAACTAATTAAAAAATATTTCTACACTACCTATACAAACAAATATATTATTATAATAGTGCTGATTAGGATCTGTCCTAATATGTGTTAGCCTCCAATTGGCTCACCCTGGACAGAAATCCTAATAGGTTTTTCTCTTTTCTGCTCAAAAAGACAACGTCAGTTAGATTTATACTTGTTTAAATCTGAGACTGGAAATTGGTTTGATTAAGATTTATTCACTAACGAAACTACTTCATTACGCTCATTTTATTTTTCTCTTAGCCACTAAGATAAATTTTAACGAATCTCGTATATTTTGTTTTCAAATATTTGTGATTTAATCAAACCATTTTCTTTACGGAATTGGTATCTAAAAATAAAAACTCGCAAAAATAAAATACCTATAAACCGTTCAAAAATCACCAAAATGTTTTGGAAATTTCACTAAGTCTAGAAAAGTCCAAATTTCAAGTCTCTACGAACATTTCTGAATAAATTATAACAAAAAAACAAAATTGAAAACAATAAAAGCGTTATTTCTATGGCATTTTTTTTTACTTTTCTTCTTCCGGGTTTGCTTAATTATTTAGAATACTACACTCGGAAAATAGAAAAAACTACTTTTTTTCGACATTTTATCCTGGTTTATCCTAGATATTATGAAAATCGTTTGAAAATCAAAAAAATGACATCCCTAAGTTACCATGGAGATAAAATTTCTTTTCAGAAAATAAGCTACACCTGATAGATTGGAGCAAGATTTCTGATAGATAAGTTTGCACAACAAATCGAGGGGTATTTTGCGATTAAAATAGTCCGCGGGTACGATGGCTTCAGTCCCTAAGTAAATCCAAAATGCGTTTGTTTTTTTCTTGTTTAGGTAAAAAGAAAAAAATTGCAAACAAATTTTTTATGACATACTGGTATGAGCTCGGAACCCCTAGAATGATAATAAACATAAATAACAATTAGATCACGACAAATATGTCTTATGGACTGCATAGAATTATTTAACATAACATATAATACCCGCATAATATCAGAATTTCAAAAAGCTATTTCTGGTAGACATTTTTACACAGGATAAAAAAAAAACATCTGAGTAAAACCAATACATTCTTCGTTACACTCAAAATCTAAAATTGTTAATACTTCATTAAAATTAATTATGAAACAATTACATTTGCTGTTAATAAATCGTAGGATGAA